GGAAAAAACCCATTGTGTTAGTTTCCTATTGCTGCTTTGAGAAATTATCACAAACTTAATGGCTTAAAATAACACAAATTTATTATCTTATATTTTGGAGGTCAGATGTCTGAAGTGGGCCTCACTGGCTACAATTAAGTTTTCAGCAGGATGGTATTCCTTTCAGAGGCTCTGGGGGGAAACTCTATCTCCTTGACTTTTCCAGCTTCTAGAGGCTACCCACATTCTGTGGCTCATGATCTCTTCCATTTTCAAAGCCAGTCAAATATTTTTCAAGATGCCATCTCTCTGATTATGACTTCAACAACTGTTCCTCATTTAAGGATATTTGTGATTGTTTTGGGCTCATTCAGATAATCCATGTTAATCTTCATATGTTAAGGTCAACTGATTTACCTCAATTCTATCTGGAATCTTAATTCCACTATGCATGTAACCTATCATATTCACAGGTTATTGAAGTGGGAGTTGGTTATCTTTGTGAGGAAGAAATTATTCTGCCTACTATACCCATTACATAGGAAAATTGGCTAATTCATAACAATTCTAAGGGAAATTAATGTTTTATAACCCTTTCTATAAATTGTGAAGCAGTTCAAGGACAGTTACTATATTCTTTTACTAAAGGTATAGTAAGAGCACATCATACACAAAGGTCAGAGAACTTTATAAACTGGAAAAATATCACTTTATCTATAAATTATAGCCAGAAAATTTCCCAAGGGTAGATTGCATTATCAAGTACTTAGAACCTTTGCTAACCTTCAAGTATATATATATATTTTCCTAATTATATTATTAAGAACAGACCTTATCTTTGTTTAGTAATTTACAGTATCCCATGTGTTTATGTACTTTAACTGTTAACATGTGGGAGAATCTTAAAGAATCTAATGTAAGATAATCACTTGGTACATTGGCTGTACATAATAAATACTAAATAAATAAACACCTTATTTCTAATAGCCCTTTAGATAGGGTAGCTATTTTTCAGTAAGGCAAATGAAATGCAGAAATGACCTGTCCAGTATCATGCCATACATGGACAAACCGGCAACTTCAAACCTTTGCATCTGTCACAATTAGTTAAGTAAGGTTGCCTAGGACCTAACTTATGCAATGTTATGCTTTTTTAAAGCAATACTTTCCTATAATATCCCCCAAATATAATTGCTTCAGCTCTTCCTTAGTTTTTTCAGTGTTTGATACTGTGAGAAGAGGTGGAAATGCCCTAAATAAGCTTTGTTATTGTTTACTTTGAATGAAGCCTTCTGGAGTATTGAAAATATTTTATGGAGAATTAGGAAGGGTGATTTGGTCTTGTCTAGAATATGATTATAAATATAGATGTATGCTGTTCTCCTTATAGTCTTGGAAGCTGTGGAAGCCACAACTCAAAATGACTCATCAAATGCCCTGGAGACAGTTAGCAGAAATATTTTGAAAGATATTACCTGAGGGGTTTCGCTATGAGCCCAATTATGAGCCGACAGGCTTGGTCTATGCCTTCCCAATGTGTTCTAAGGATTTATGGCAGCAAAGGGACTTAAAATATCAGCAAATTTGATAGTTGTATAGTACATTATTATTAAACAGTAAGTATTAAATGCTTGTATCAATATCTGCATGATATGGTCTTTTGTGGATTAAGATTTTAATGCCATCATATAGTTTCACTAAATACTGAGCATCATTCTGGAGCACTTCATCTGTTCGGTGAAATGCACTTAAAGAATACAAACAAATTCAAATTTGAAAATATAACATAGGTAAATTTCCTAATACCTTTTTTGGGGTTAAATGTGTCAACATTCATTGGTGTAAATAATCAAGAATTAATTGTTAATGCAGATGTTTTACTTAGTCTGAGCCATTGTATATATTCTTCCATTAGGATTATTCTAAAAAACCTTTCACCTCTTCCTGATGTGACTTTAATTCCTTCTTTAGATGTCTCCATCCAGAGCAGTCTAAATAATGGGACTGATTTTTCTGGTTGGGGGAGATGGTTGCCTGGGTAGCTCATTTTAAAGTTCCAAGAGTAATTTCTCAGACTTGGCCAACTTCCCATCTTTATTCTCCATTTTCTCCTTTATTAAATGCTGGGGTTTCTTTATTCTTCTTTTCCTTCCAGCTAGCTGTACTGCCACTCAGTCTGTACCTTGGGATTCCTTTTTCTTCAAAACCAATGGTGAAGTGAGGCAGGGTAATGGTGCCTCTAACTAATGGGTTGGCCAAAAAGTTCATTTGGTTTTTTCCTTAAGTCTCTAGTAGCAGTTTTCTTTAACTTCATTCAAAACAATTTTGTTAGATTGTATTGTGGCAGCTGTCATGTCAGCATGCATTAAAAAAAAAACTTATCAAAACTGGTTAATTTTTGTGTAGCTATTTTAATATTAAAAATGGAAGAAAATAAGTGACATTTTTGGCATATTATACTTTATTATTTAAAGAAAGGTAAAAATGCAACTGAAACACACAAAAAAGATTTGTGTATGGAGTAGGTGCTGTGACTGATTGAATGTGTCAAAAGCGGTTTGCGAAGTTTGATGCCGGAGATTGCTCCACTGTTGGGGTAGACCAGATGAAGTCGGTAACAATCAAGTCCAGACATTAATTGAGAACAATCAACATTATACCATAGCTAACATACTCAAAATATCCAAATCACTAAAGTTATTGGTGAAAATGAAAAAATATGTCTTTTATGGAAAAAACCATATGGACTTTTTGGCCAACCCAGTATTTTCCTTAACTCAGGGCTCTGACAGTAACGATGGCTCCAAAATGCTAAGAAAGTTCCTTTAGGCTGCAATCTTCCCTCTCACTCTTTGAATTTTCTACTTTTTCAAGTTAAGCATGAGAGGAAGATAGGGTCCTTTTATATTGTCTTTTCTCAGGGGGATGATTTGTATTTCTGGCTGGACCTTACTCCAGTACTTCCCAACAATTCATGTGATAGCCACATAGAAAATAATGGCATTTTTATGGCACATGTGATATCACAGAAAAGACTGTGGTTATCCATGCTACGCTGAAGGAATAGACACCATGGGCTGACCTGGTACCTGTTTTCAGTTGATTTTCTTACCTGTTGTTGTGGAGCAGTACTTTAAACAGAGAAGGCACTTCCTTGGAATGTAAGTCCCCCCCCACCCTTTTTTTTAAGCTGGGATATAGAAATTCAGACTATTCCTACTAGTACATGTTGCTGTTTAAGATTTCGTTGCTATCTGCCAAGCAGAACCAGAGCAGTAAGACTATTTTTCATTTTTCTGACTGAAATATTATTCTTAACTACTCAGATACTTTTCTGTACCTAGATGATAAATAAGAGAATCATAAAAGCCAGGTGTTGGACATACAGTGTTAGTGGTGGACAAGACTTAGTTTCTGTTCTGAGTTCAGCAGAAGTTTTTCCAATTTGATGTCATTACATTAAATCCAGATATACTAGTGTTTTTTTCAAAGCTTAGGATAGTGAAAGACAACTAAATTCATAATAACTACTATTAGTAGGAGCATAAATCGTCTTCCCTTTATTCTTAGGATGGCTTGAGCTTTTTCATCCTTTAGGCCCCAGTTTAAATATAACAAAGACTTCCCATCCTAATCTATGTAAGGGCCCCTGTCATTTTCAGACCCTTGTTTGTTAGCCTTTCTGAGAATTTTACATATATACGTATGTTTCTGATCTGTCAGCCCGAGCAGAATGTAAGTTCCTTGAGAGTTGTTGAGCTGTATCGTAGGTTACCTAGCATAAAGCCCAGCACATAGAATACACTCAAATTTGCTCAATGAAACTCATGACTTTTTATTTTGTTGCAAAAATTATTTAAAACAAAACTATAAAATATTTTTCCAGCTTATTTTATATATAAACTGATAAACTGATGTTAAGCCTCATTATATAAACTTTCCCTTTGAGTTATATATAAATTACATTTACAGGAAAAAAACCCCCACACTAACACATTACCCACATTTTCCCATGCTGCTTAAGTTGAAAACTTTGTTTTTTTTTCCTCACCCTGACTCGAAGCCTGACAGCTTAGGCCGAACTTACAAGGCACCACATGTGTAATTGAAAAAGAAGAGAGAGCCTTGTTTCAAAACTTAATTCCAAGGAGCCAAGTCAGACGCCATCGACCCCACGTTTCTCCTAAGGGTTTGTTCCAAAAGGCGAACTCCTCTCCTCTGGCTCTCCCGCCAAGCTGGCCGACTGCCAATGAGTACAGGGCACAGTCTTCCTTCCCCGATTTTGGGTCAAGCTTACTTCCCAATTGCTAGGCACGACCGTCTGCGTGCGAGACCGCGGACTTTGAAGGGCGCTTTTGGGGCGTAGCCGAGCGGTTTAAACCAGCGAATCCGCGTTTACCTAGTCCTTCCACCTCTTCCTCATCGCGGCAGATGCTCCACGGGTTGGCACCAATTCCCCGGTCCTGACCTTCTTCCTCCTTTCTCCCGCGTCCTGGGACAAGTTTGGGCAGCCACTTCTTCCCAGGAGGGGTGAGCATCAAGTTGGAAAACTGAACTAGATCCAGAGCAGAGCGCTGAAACACAGTTCGAGGGACACATCGGCGCGCAGGGGAGGGAAACATGTTGCACCCGCGTGAAAGGGGCGGGCCGGCTCTGGCCGCGCGCATTTCCTGTGACAGGGGCAGCCCTAGCCTCTCCCTCTCCCGGGGCGGCGGGACCATTTCCTGAATCGCTGAAGCGGAGGGAGGACTGGGGAGCGGCCCTACCATTAGTTCAAAAGGGCGGGGGAGGCGGAAAAGTAAAGCTTAAGGGTCTACAGGTCCACCAAACACAGGAAAGTTCCTTGGGGACTCTAGTTTTCAAGGCAGATGCCGAAAGAAGACGTCTATCGGCTAGAATTGCTCCGTTAGGCTAGGGAGGCAGCCTGTTTGTTTGGCGCTGGAGCATCCCCCCTCCCCGCTTTCCTGAGGTGGTTCAGTCCGAGAGGCCGGCGTCTTTCCCCCAGTTTGCTGTTCACCCGGAGCGCTCGGGACTTGCTGATAGTAGTGACGGCGGCAACATGTCTGTGGCGTTCGCAGCCCCGAGACAGCGAGGCAAGGGGGAGATCACTCCCGCAGCGATTCAGAAGGTGAAACCTCACGGGGACGGGGATGCCAGGCCTATCCCGCCTTTGGGAGATCCCGGGGGCTGGGCTGGGAGGCAGTCTGGGAGTCAGTCGGGCCGGGGGCGGAGATGGGCCTGCTGGGAGGCGGTGGTGTGGGACTCCGGAGCCGCGGGCAGTGCCTGAGTGGGTGGTGGAAGAAGGCGAACTGGTCCTCTCGCAGAGACCTTCACGCATCAAAGCTCTTTACTCCAGGCACAAAAGCCCAAGTAACCGCCGCCGGATTTCTCTAGGGATGGGGTGGTGTTCGGGCGGCGTGGCGCGTGCGCCCGATGGTGGGGCCGCGCAGTAAAGGGCTGTTTATACGAGCCGGCGCCCCCAGCCGCTCCGCGTTGCTCCCGAGTTACTTTGGCGTTGCCCCGCCCATCGCGCCGTAGCTGCTTCGTGTAGAACAGACCTGAGGTCGCGGGAGGCCGAGGGGAAGTCGCTGCCCTCCGCCGCGCTGCAAACTCTGGCAGAGTTAGGGAGCTCTCAGGAGAACTTGGGGGACGCTGCAGGGAGCCTTAGTAGAGTCAGAGGGGCGGGCGAAGGAGAGCCCGTTGGACTTCGCAGTTACCTCCGAGTCTCCTCCATTCCGGATTCACCCCATATCCTTTTACATCATTGAGCGCCAAGTCTAGACTCTTGAGGCTTCGTTGGTGAGCCACGGTCCTTACCTTCAGGGAGCTTACAGTCAGGTGGTGAAGACCATCTGGTAATTGTGACCAATTGCAGAAGGCGTCACACACAGGAAGCTGCGTTCCTTTTAGAGAGTGGTGTGCTGCCTCTTGTTGCTGTGTTACTGCCAGTGACGGACACAAAGGTTCTTTATTGTCTTTACCTCTTGTTGCCAATGAGCAAGGCAGCATTATGAATTTTATTCAGCCAGACTTTGAAAAGTTACTTGCTCAGTTTCAATTTTTGTTTTATGCACTGAAGCAGGGATGAAAATCGAAGAAAAGTCAACTTTAGTAATAAGGGCGCCATACTATGCCCAATAGATTTTTAGAATTTTTAAATTTAATTCATTGGGGTGACATTGGTTAATAGTTATATAGCTTTCAAGTGTACAATTCTATAATACATCATCTGTATATTGTATTGTTTTCACCACCCAAAGTCAAGTCTCCTTCCATCATTATTTATCTCCCCTTTACCCTCTTCTACCCGCCCCCCCTTCCTCTGGTAATCACCATACTGGTGTCTGTGTCTATGAGTGAGTTTGTTTTGCTTAGTCCCTCCAGCTTTTTATCCAGCCCCTCACCCCCACTCTCACCTTCTCTCCTCTGACAGCTGTCAGTCTGTTCTCAGCTCTGTTTCCTGTAAGATTCTTTGTAGTGTGGCATTTGACATTTGCCTGTTGCTTTATTTTATAAACTGACTGGCTTGGCAATGCCTGGATATGCAGTGTGTTCATATAGTGCATTGGGCTAAGTCTGCAGCCTGGCTAAAAGCTCAAAGTACATACGGAAACATATTTCCCGTGGGGGTGGGCGGCAGTTAACTTTTTATTTTTGGACTGTTGGAAAGTCCTTAGACTTTCTGTTTTTTTCTCCAGTTATTCTTACACCTTAAGGTGTTTCTCATGGGTGATTAATTCAGGAGATGCCTGCTGATCAATTAGTTTAATCCTCAGATGAGAAGGGAAAATGGATTTCAAATTAAGTGCCTCATTCTACAGTGTGAGGGATTGATTTTAGATATGAGACAGATAATCCTAACGATGAAGTTTGTTAGTTTGAGGACTCTACTGAGAAGATATGTGTGAAATCGTTAGACTGGACTAATGCATTTTAAGGACAAATTTTTTGGCATTCAGTGGTTCTAATTTAAGAAATAACTGCACTTTCTAGAGGGGCATGTTAATATATTTTTTTCTGGCACATGAAGATGATGATTCATGTGCAGGAAAAAAATCATAGTTAATGTTAAATGCATCTTTTTTAATTAAAAGACTTGCATTAACTAAATTATTGAGGTGGAGTGATTATGGTATTCTACCTCATGCTTTCATGGAAGGAAGGGTAGGGCAGGTACATGAGAAACAGTTACTTCTGTCCTTTTATCTAACAGATAAATCTGAGACCATGAAATCTTAAGTGGTTTGCACAGGACAGCAAGGTTGGCACTAAAATTGACTGGCCTTTTACTACATTTCTATTCTTTTTTTTTTCCTCAATACCACTTTGCTTAGATCAATTATTTAACCCTTAAAGCCAGTATTGCCTTAAATTGTTAAAAGATGATAGAATGATATGTTAATATGTTTTTTGGTTTTAATCTTTTGGGACAACTTAATTATAAGGTAAGCTCATAAAATCCTCAATAAATATTATACATACCTAGAAAATACTGTATTCGATTCCATATTTGGAGAATCACAAAACCATACTGTGTAAACTTGGAAAGTAGCCAGCTATCCCCTGAAGCCTCCTGAGCTGAAGTTTTCATGTATTTTCTTCATTCTGGATAAGGAAAACTTTTCTTTACAACTAAAAAGTATTAGAATGATACAAAGCCAACTTGGACACAAATTTTAGTCTTAACTGGCTAAAGCTTCTGTTACATATAGCAGAGGTAATTAAGTGTTTGAATGGAAAAGAAACTCCATACTTTCCCTTCTGGGTTTCAGGTAATAACTCAGAGGGAAAATAATTGGAATAGAGTTATTAAAAAATTGTTGATTATACATGCCATTATTCTCAATGTATAAAATAAGAGTTAAAAGACCTGGGTGGATTCAGTTTCTCTATAGTTAAAACACTTAAAAAACTGAGGAATTAAAAAAAAACTTTTTACTTGATTTATTAGATTTATAATAAACTTTTTCTAATTTTATTTCAGATGTTGGATGAAAATAACCATCTCATTCAGTGTATAATGGACTATCAGAATAAAGGAAAGACTTCAGAGTGTTCTCAGTAAGCTTGACATGAAATTTTTAAAAAATGTTCATTTTTCTCTGTCATGTAACTTTTCACTTTTCTTTTTAATAACAGCTTTGTTGAGCTATAATTCACATTACCATACAATTCACACACTTTGAAGTGTATAATTCAAGGTTTTTAGAATGTTCATACAGTTGTACTACTATCACTTTAATTAATTTTGGAACATTTTCATTATCCCCAAAAGAACCCCTATACATATTAGCAGTCACTCCCCTTTTTCAAGGCCTAATTCCTCACCCCCGACAACCACTAATTTTTCTGTCTGTGTAGATTTGTCTGTTGTAGACACTTCATATAAATGGAGTCATACAATATGTGGTCTTTTTTGATTGAGTTCTTTCGCTTATCATATTTTCTAGATTCATCCATGTTGAATGAATTAGTACTTCCTTTTTACTGCTGAATAATTTCATTGTCTAGCTATGCCACATTTTATTTATCCATGAGTGATAGATATTCGGATTGTTTTCACTTCTTGGCTATTATTAGTAATGCTACTATGAACAAGAGTGTACAAATTTTTGTGTGACTTCTCCTGATTTTTACATTGTTCTCTGGGATAGAATGGATATTAATTTTTTTCTTATATACTTCTTATCCTGCGTTATAAAATAATGTCTTCAAATTTGTGTATGGTCCAATTTGTGGAAAAGTTAAATCTTAATCTTCACATGTATAAAATATTTAGCTATATCCATGTATGTGATTGCGAAAGCAAGGGTCACATCTAATAGAGTTGGTCATTATTCCTAAGAATGCATTTTGTTAATTTGAAGTGTTATGTCTGAAGTAAACAGTATCCCTCAATAAAATTTGATGGAGAAGAACAAATTGGATATTTTATCAAGGCTCTAGAACAACACCATCCAGTAGAAATATATTGTGAGCCACATATGTAGTTTTACATTTGCTGGTAGACACACTAAACAAGTGAAAAGAAACGGGAGAAATTAATTTTAATAATAGATTTTATTTAATTTATTTCCAATATAATATCACTTTAATATATAATCAATATAAATGTATTGAGATAGTTTACATTCTTTTGTTACATTATTTTGTGCATCTTACTCTAGTAATACCATTCTTTTGGACTAGTCACATTTCATTGTGTTTAGTGGCTACTGTTTAAACAACACAGCTCTAGAATATTTTATTCTCACCATCATATTGGGGTACATCTGTCTTTTCTAGGGACCTCACTGATCTGCTCTCAAGTAGACCATATACTGCATTTAGTTTTCATGTGTCTTGAATATCCTTTTATCTGGAACTGATCTTCAGCCTTTCTGTTATCTTTCATAATACTGCTGATATTGTTGAAGATTACAAGCACTTATTTTGTGGAATGTCTCTTATTTGGATTTGAGAGGTATTCCCCCTTGAGTAGATTCACATTATGCACTTTCGGCAGGAGTATCACAGATGTCATTACATCTTCAGTCCTCAGTTCATCCTCAGGTAGCCCTATACGTTTCTCCCAGTATTTGTCCCAATATTTGTGATAACTTCAGTCACTAAGTTAAGGTGATACCTGACAGTTTCTCCACTGTGAAGTTACTGTTTTTGCTTTATAATTCTTATTTACCTTGTAGGGGAGATAACCTTGAGACACACAGATGCTGTTTCTTACCGTACTTTCTTACACATCAATGTTAGCATCCACGAATGATTCTTAACTGAAACAGTTATTTCTATGGTGGTTGCCAAATCGTGATGAAATCCACCACTCTTTCCACATTTATTTGGAATTCTACTGTTAAGGAAGAAATTTTCCATCCTTGTCCGCGTTCATTCATTCATTCATATCTGAATGGACTTAGGGATTCTTATTGTATTCCCTGAGTTATAGTCTCTTAGTCTATTATTTATTTTCTTTCTCAGATTGTTTCTGATGTTGGCCACTGGTAGCCCCTCAAGCTGGTTTTTTGATATGTCTCTGTTATTTTTTGACACTTTTCTTATTTTCTTACATTTTAAAAGTTTATCTTGTATTTTTTTCCTGCCCCAGTTTGGAATCATTCATTTCTTAAAGCCCTGGTTCTTTTTCTTTTGGAGAATTATGTTTAGAAACTTAGGGGTGAGTGCCAGGATATGTTACTTTCTAATCACAGCACATTTTGCATTTTATATTACCATTTTCATTTCTTTTATGCATATTGGTTCTTTGATAAATCTTGTCTGCTTATGTTTGAAAATATTCTTTAACATATATTTGAAAATTAGCTAGCTTATCTACTTTTTTAGTTTAACTATTGATAATCATCAGTGGTAGGGAGATTACTAACTCCGTGGTGTCAGCCATTAGATCATAAAAGTTGAGAGGTTCTCATTAGAATTATTTTCACCTATAGTTTTTAAAACCCTAGATAAGAGCCAAGGGGCTTTGTGGCACAGGACTGGTTCATAAGGGACCCAGCAGTATATGGCATGAATAGGAAATACTCATATCTAGAACCATCTTTTCCAACTTGGATGAACCAAAATTTTTACTATTTTATTCTTTATATTCTCAACCTTTTTTTTTTTTTTTTTTTTTTTAGTATATATGATCATTTCCCCCATTCTCTGCATATTGGAATAGACTTCATTTTTGCACATACTTGTACAGAAGGGGATTAAATTGATTTAGGTAGAATCTTAAATTATGCTTTCTGATGGATTTCACTTTATTTGTAGAGTTCTTTAGTTATTCTTAAGTTGTCAGGATTGGTTTGTGAATGAAGAGGAAAAAAATCCTCTCAATCTCAGTAAGTGTTTCATTATAGTAGGAGAAGTAAAAGGAAAGTAAAGAGGAATATCAGTAAATGACAGCCATCTGGGAATTTATAATTCAAAAAAAGTTTTTTTATTCTTACCCAAGGGGACATGCTTATTGTGGTTTTTTGTTGTTGATGTTTTTTCTTTTTCTTTTTTTTTTTAAGGTGGGGGGAGGGAGGGGGAGAGAGAGGGAGAGAAACAGCAGTGCGAAAGAGAAACATTGATCATGTGCCTCTCCCATGCACCCTGACCAGGGACCAAACCCACAAACTAAGCATGTGCCTGGATGAGGGATTGAACCTGCGACCTTTTGGTTTATAGACAATGCTCCAACCAACTGAGCCACACTGGCCAGGGTGAAAAATGTTGGTTTTTTTAATTGAAAATAGGTTATTTTTATGAAAGCAGTATATGTATTGTTGAAAATTAGAAGACACAGACACAAAAATGAGATAATGAACACTATATTCTTGCCACCCATACATTTTTTACTAGTGACATCTTTGTATATATTGCTGTATATATCCTTATCTACATACGCACATGCATACACTCACTGTTACACTCATGTGAGTCAGTGAATCATTTGTGGAGCTCATATGTACAGGTTGTCTTCCCTTTAAGTTCTGATAACATCGGAAAAATGAAGATTGCTTTTCCATGTTTGGTTTGAGCATTTTCTAAGTCAATCTATTTCTTTGCTTAAATATATAAATTTAATTTTTTCTGTTTTCAAGTATACTGTCAATTATCAAGCAAGAAATTTCTCTTTATCATAATGTTAAGGAATGCTTTTAAATCCCTACTCAGAAAAATGACTTTTATTTTATCAATTGTGTTTCTGTTGTCTTTAAAACATAATCATGTTTTATAGACATAACCCTGGCTTGTGTGACTCAGTGGATTGAGTGCCGGCCTGTGCCTGCGAACCAAGGGGTGGTGGGTTTGTTTCCCAGTCAGGGCACATGCCACTGGCCAAGGTCCCCAGTAAGAGGTGTGTGAGAGGCAACCACACATTGATGTTTCCCTCTCTTCTTCCCTTCCTCTCTCCCTAAAAATAAATAAATATCTTTATTTCCTTTCCTCTCTCTCTAAAAATAAATATCTTTAAAAAAATCATTATAGCTTCTAGGTAAAGCTTTTTCTTAATGAGATCTGATTTCATTAACATCAATAAATTTAATAGTGGTTATTTTACCTTATTCAAAGTAATTGATGTAGTTGCTCTGAGTTGACTCTTTGGGAAGTTTGGAAATCATAAAACATAAAATGTTGAATATGTTTTGTATTTGATCTTAGCTTATATATTCAACTTTATATTATTAATGTAGACTATTTTAGAAATAATATTCATTAAAAAAGTAAACAGTTTCAATGACAAATGTAATACTACTTATAGAATAAACAAAAAGTTTCTCAGGAAAATGTTTCTTTAATATTTGTAGGAGAATCTACTTATTATTATCGCTTCAGTAGTCTTGGCCAAAGCCAGATTTTTCTAGAATATTTGCAAATCTTTTTAGGTGACACGTAAACTTACAAAAGTATATGAGTATACAGTATTTTTATTAATGTTGTCTTTGAGCCTTTAATAGGCTTATTTGAATGCTGTTAAAATAACAGACTTACACAAAATAAAGCCCACTGAAGTTAAAAGTGATCATTTTTACCTACTGCCTTACTTTAGGTAAAAAGATTTGGTGCTTTTGCTTTTGGGACAATTGGAGAAATCTGAATGGGTTCTGTGGATTAGATCGTAAGGCTGTGTCAGTAGTGATTTCCTCTTTATAGTGGTTGTACAGTGGTTATATAGGGTATGTCCTTGTTTTTGAGATATTGACACTGAAGTATTAGTAGTAATGAGGTATTATGTCTGTAACTGACTTTCAAATGATTTTGGAAAAAAGCATGTGTGTGCTTGCATGCATGTGTATATTGGTGTATATGTTTAGGATGGAATAAGACATGTGGCAAAATACTAATGATTGTACAGTGCAGGAGAAAGATATTTGGGCTTATTTATATTTTTAAAACTGTAAGCTTAAATTTCAAACTTAAAAGTTAAAAAAGATGGTTGGGAAATGGCTCACAATTAAAGTACTCAATAAAAAATGCTGTATTTGTAAATGTTTAGAACCACAAGAGGCTTTGAGATCTACTTGAACCATTATTTTGCAAATGAGGCCTTAAGAGCATGGCAGATTAGATTTAACAGTATTTTAACTCTAGCTTACTAAGTACTAATCAGCATGACTAAATTTTTTTCTTAAAGGCTCATGAGTAAACCATAATCTCTTACTAGGTTTGGATTTTTAGTTTTGATAGAGTGGTCAACAAATCTCATATGTGAGTATAATGCAACCATACCAGTGTTTAGAGAAGAAACAGAAAACTTGAAGGAGTAGGTGTTTAAATGGGTTTTATGGCTTATTAAAAATGGCTGGCTGGTTCTTAAAAAATAGCTGGCTGGTTTCTAAAAAATGGCAACACTGTGGAACCCTGTATCTTAAAATTTATTTGCACCCTCTATAGAATAGTGAAATAGTTTCAGCAAGTGGTGCCTATTAGTGCTATTTGAAGAATTTTGACAGCATAATTAACTATTATGAGTAATTCAGTATAATGTAATAATTCTTGGTCTTTATATAAGGATCATCATAACAAACAATATGTTAGTTCTGATTGAGCAACAATATAGTGTATATGTGAGGAGGACCATTAAAAGAGTATAAACTTGTTTTTAAGTAATAAAAAACAAAAACCAAGGGAAACATGGAAACTTTGGGAAGTGTTGGATGTCTTTTATTGATATTTTGATTGTGGTGATGGCATCACAGGTATTTGCCTTCGGCCAAACTCATCAAATTGTATCCATTATGTGTGGTTCTTTGTATATCAGTTATACTGGAATCAATCGGGAAAAAATAAACAAAAAATTTTTAGTGAGGAGACTTTAAGATCAGTGAGATATTATTTTTTTCCCTCCAATAAGAAAGGTAGTGAAATCAGTTATTTCTAATTGGAAAAAAATGATGCAGCAAAGAATTTACTTGTGCTCTGGCTGGTTTGGCTTAGTGGATTGAGTGCCATCCTGCGAACTAAAAGGTTGCCAGTTTGATTCCCGGTCAGTGCACATGCCTGGGTTGTGGGCCAGGTCCCCAGTAGGGTGTGTAAGAGGCAACCAATTGATGAATCTCTCACACAGCGATGTTTCTTCTCCCCCTTTTCTTCCTCCCTTCTCCTCTCTCTAAAAAAATAAAATAAAATCTTTTAAGAAAAAATTTACTCATATTCTTTTTATGGTGTGTGCTTTAGAAAATTACTTCATCTGAGATCTATATGAGAATACTTTATTTAGCTGAATAATGTTCTTTTGGCTTTTATTACTTTAATTTGTATATAATATTTCTTAGTAAACAGAATTCTAAAACAGCCAAACAGTTTGATTTAGGATGTAAGTTTGTGTTTTGAGGGTTTACAAACTAGTAATTGGATCACTAATATTTTTAATGTAGTTTGGTCTTAGTTTTTAAAATTATGAAGAGGCCCTGGCCAGATAGCTCAGTTGTTTGGAGCATCATCTCTATGTGCTGAGGTTGCAGGTTCAATCTCTGACCAGGGCACATACAAGAATCACCAATGAATGCATCAGTAACTGGAATAACAAAGCAGTGTGTTTCTCTCTTTCTCTCTCTCTCTCTCTCACTCACTAATAAATTAAAAAACTAAAATAAAATTATGAAGAGAAGTTTAGCAAAGCTAATTCATAAGCAAGATCACTAAAGTGTATTTAACCATTTCTCTCCAGTAATGAGAATCTGCTTTATTTTTAAAAATTAATCCATAATGGTGTTGGTGTACTATTATTTCCTCCATCTCTGTGTTTTAGCATATTTTATATATGTATATGTAATTGGAAACACCCATTCATTGTCTTAGTAAATGGGTAGGAGAGATACAGCAGGCATAAATTTTTCGTCACTGCTGCAAGAGTGGGAAGATGAAAAAAAAGGATTCTCACCTCTTTTCTCCATTTTAGCAGAACATGTTGACTGCTCTTGGGATTGAGGTTTTTGTCAACATGAAAATGGCAGAGGGAAGGGAATAAGCATATCAGTTTCAGTGAATTCCTTCATTCTAGACCTCTTTTTAGAAAGCATATATACTATATGTGGAGTCAGCATATTTCAGTTAACTGAATTTGCTAAGCTGCGCAACCTGGTACAAGTTAGTAATCTTTCTAAACCTGTTTCATCATCTGTAAAATGGAGAAAATAAGAACTTTTACTTGATAATGAAGGTACTGGTTTGAGGATTAAAGGAGGTAACATAACTATAAAACTAACTATAACAATATTTAGCACATGGTAACACCTCTGTGATTATCATCTTTAAATGTATTAAGTGGAATTATTTTGCAGAGGAACTGGGAAAAAAGGAAATGGTGTTGATGTTCAGGTAACATAAATCTTTTATTAATCTTGAGAAATGATTGTAATACTGTTTGTATTTAAACAAATAGGAACAAAATTATTTTTCAATATTGATACTTGTTTTGTTTTAATAGGTATCAGCAGATGTTGCATACAAACTTGGTCTACCTTGCTACAATAGCAGATTCTAATCAAAATATGCAGTCTCTTTTACCAGCAGTAAGTACCTTTAAAAATACTGTGAAGTAGACAATCTTTATAGGGTTATGTATGGTATAACACATTTTCGTTCAGTGATTTTTGAGATTTGTTTAGTAAATCCTGACCCCCTCTGAGAACATGAAGCTGTTTACCTATATGATCTTAAAAGGTTTAATGTTTCGCCTTCATATTTAATCCGAATTCACCTAGAATTGATCCCCTCCCTGAGGAAGTCATATCCATCCACCCATTCACCTGTACACCTATCGATCTACCTGTTTAGTTATTTATTCTAGTCTGTAATTGCACAAATAATTTATGAATAAATCTGTAGTATTTCAAAGCAAATCCCAGATATCTTACAAATTTACCTATAAATACTCTGGTATGCATCTTCATCAGATAAGGACTATTATCCTACCCAACAAAATTAACCAAAATTTCTTAATATCTTGTAATACCCAGACTGTTTTCCATCTTTACCAATTATATGAAAAAACATAAATGTTTTAATGATCGTTTGCCACAGAATCCAAAGTCCTCATGTTGCATTGATTGATGTGTCTAAAGTCTCTTCCAATCTATCAGTTTATCTTTTCCGTTATCCATTTATTTGTTGAAAAAAACTGAGTTATACATTTTGTAGAATTTCTCACATTCTGGATTTGCTGATTTTATCCTCATTGTCCTTTAACATGTTCTATCCAACTCATCTCTTATTTCCTATAAACTAATAATTAGAGGCTTGGTGAGAGTTAGGTTAAGTTTTGTATTTCATTAGTGGTGCTATGTATTGCCTATTGTATCACATTAGGAGAGATGGAAAATCTAATCTAATACTGTTGTAGTTATTCTTTGATACTCAGGTTATCTCATCTTTGGTCAGTGGGAGCCTCTTCATTCCACTTGTGTCCTTCTGATATGATTCCAGTATTCTTGTGGAGCTTCTTTGCTTTCAGGATTTGAGAGACATACCAGGTTGATTATATTATTTGTCCCAGAACTGTTCTGCTGAAGCTATTTTTCCATGCAGTCCTTTTATAATGGGAATTGATATTTAGAGACCTCAATTTGTGTGTTTGGAGTGTCGCGGGGAGCACCCTATGGGACACTCCTAAATCTGAGTGTTACTGTCTGGAGCCAGCAGAGGTGGGAGCGGGGCTCTGAATCCGGTAGAGCCTGTCCCAGGGTTGTCACGAATGAGGGGAATAAACATGAGTAGTCGCAAGCACTTCTCTGTTTGCCAGGAGAGGGGGCATGGCTCTTTCCTCTAGTGGAGAAGGCACTGAGCTCCTCTGCCCCCCCATGTCCAAAGGCTTTTATTGAGAACTGTACACGCAGGTATATGGATGCATGGATGCAAAGCTCATCAATCAATGTCAAAAGGCTATGTTTACAGAAAACAGATCATGGATAACAATTGAAGGAACACAAGAGATCTGCCTCTGGTCAGGGTCTATGAATAATGTAAATCTCCTTCCCAATATGAGCCAGTTATCATAGCTCTTGAGGGAAGAACAAAGCATGCTTCGAGAAAGCATGCTTCCAGGCCTGATTGTCCCCTAGGACTGCCTGATGGAATTTGTGGCTAGACCTGCCTTTAGTATTTTTTTTAAGCCTGAGCCAGGTGGGGCAGAGCCACCAAGAGACAAGGAGACTTATTTCAGATAGAATGAGGACTCCATTTCAGATAGAATGAGGATAGAATGGGAGGTGAGGGTCGTTTGCCCTTTCTCCGTGTCCCTCAAGTCCTTGTCCTGCTGCCCATATCAGTTGTGGCTGGCTTAGGTTGTCCCTCATCTTGAGAGATCTTACTCGTGACTGACTACCAACCATCACAGGGCCAAGCAGGGTGATATGAGGGAGGCAGGGGCTGCACCCTTGCCTAGGGAACAGGTTTTGTCCCCTCGGTGGCCTGTTTTCCCAAGGCCTCCTAGATTATGTCCAGCCTTGGGCCTTCTCACCTGTCAGCAGGGCTACAGTCCCTGAAACCACACGGGGTGTTTCCCAACACCAGGGCATTCATTCTTACTGGGATTTTACTGTTTCTTAGGTGTTCTCAGTGGACAGTACTAGTAAACGCATTTTTTAGAAAAAGAAATAAAAATACTGGAATAGTGATATTTGCCCTTCAGGGAAGGTTTTTTTTTTTTTTTTTTAATACTTAGCTTTAATTTGATGTAGTATCTCTTCTCTGACAACCTTGGTGCCTTAATGATATTATAGTTGTTTATTTTCTATATACTATTATATATAAAAATAATTTCAATATAATACTACCAAGTTTACCACTAACAATAGAATGCTTCTTAAGATATATCCTTCTAAGGATATATAATTAATAAATTTAGTTCTGAATCCAAAATAGTTTTTTGTGTGATTATTGACATGAACTTAGTTATCAGCTAAGTAGAATTTTTTTTTTGGTTAATAACGTGAAGAATAGGTCCAATTTATTTGTTAACATATAGATAGTTCTCTGTTCCAGCAATAGCTATTAGAAAAACAAAAGTCTCATTTCTCTATTTTGTCATGCCATCTATATCAAATATCAGGTGTTCATATATGTCTCTGATATATTTGCTTCCATTGGTTTGTTTTTATAAATTCCACTATACTATCACACTTGTTGTAGTCTAATAAATCTTTGTGTATATTAGAGAAGTTCATTTTCATTACTTATTCCTTATTTTTTTCAGGTTTACTTGGCTATTGGTGCTTTGTGTGTCCATATACACTTAAATTTCAGCATGTTTAACATAATCCCATTGTGATTCTCATTAAGATTACCTTAACTCTAAGTCAGTTTGGGGAGAATTGGTCTTTTTACAATATTGAGTCTGTCTCTGTCTGTCTGTCTGTCTGTCTCTCTCTCTCTCTCTCTCTCTCGATGGTAGCTCAGGTGGTTAGAACATTGTCCCCATAGGTCAAGGTGGCAGGTTCAATTCTCAGTCAGGGCACATACAAGAATCAGCCAATGAATGCATAAATAAGCAGAACAACAAATCCATGTTGCTGTCTCTCTAAAAAAGTCAATTAATAAAATAGTAAAAAAAAAATTGAGTATCTCAAATCCTTATTGTCTATATTTTCATTTATTTAGTCCTTTAATATCCACTAATGGAGTTTTATGATTTTCCCTACAGAAGATTTACGCATTTCTCATTGGACTAATTGCTAGGTACTTTATGTTTTTTGAGGCAATTAAATGGAGTCTTATGGTTTAAGTTTTACTTTCTCTGATGTTTACATGGAAATGCAGTTGATTTTGAATTTCACAGACTTGTTCAACTCTTATTTCTAATAATTTTTCTGTACTTTCAGTTTTCTCTATTCACGAACATATCATTTGTGAATAATTGGTATTGTTTCTTTCTTGCCAGTCCTTAACACTTTTTCTATCTCTTGTCTTACTTCTCTGGCTAGGATCTCCAGTACATTCCTGAGTAGAAGTGATAGAGGACATTCTTATCTTGTTGACCACAAAGGGAAAACTTTCACTGTTTGACCATGAAGTATGATGTTAGCTGTAGTGTTTTGTAGATAACCTTTTATCAGATTAAGGAAGTTCCCTTTTGTTTCTGTTGTGTTAAGAGTTTATGTCTTGGGAATGAATGTTACATTTTATTAAATACTTCCCTTGCATCTAATGAGATGATCATAAGTTTTTCTTCTTTAATCTGTTAATGTGGTGAACTACATTAATTTCTTTTTAATGTTCAATCAATTTTGCATTCTTGTAATTAACATACTTTTTCATGACCCACTTCGTATTGATCTTTTTTTTCCTGGACATGATCTTTTAAAATATTGCTGTATTCAATTTGCTAAAATTTTGATCAAGATTTTTATGTCTTTTTCATTAGTGTAATTGACCTTTAATTTTTCTTTCTTAATTGAGCCGTTGTCTGCTCTTTATTATGAGGTTATGCTAACTTCATAAAAGGAGCTAGAGAATTTTCCTACATTTTCTTAATCTGTAACATTTGCTTACTAGAGCTGCTATTTCTTAAATGATTGGTACAACTTAGAGAAGCTGTCTGGATCTTGAGTTTTCTTTGTGAAAAACTTTTTACTTAATCTCTTTAATTGTTAGAGGATAATTTATGTATTTTTTTTGTTTTATGAATTGCCTATTTTTGTAAATTGTGCTTTTCAGCATTTTATCTAAATTTTCAAATTTGTTGGTATAAAGTTCATGAAATAATCTTACATTTCTAATGGCCTCAGTATATATAGTGATTTTTTCTTTTTAACATAGTTTATTTGTGTCTTTTAAAATATTTTTTGATATTCTTGCCAGGTGTTTATCATATATTTTTTCAAGTCTTTGAAAAGACTCTGTTTTTTGTTTTTGATCTTTCTCTATGGGGGTATTTCACAAAACTTTTTGTTTCCAGTATTCCTTACATTTAAAAATTAGTGTGGACTCCACAGAGCTTTAAATAGGCTATCTAGATTGAGATATTTGTAAATATTTCTCCATTTTTAAATTAAAACACTAAAATAAAAATACTTATTTAAAATGAACAGTAATAAACCCATTGTGGGTTAACATAAAATTCTTTAAAGGAAAACTATCTTTTTGAGAACAAATTTAGTGAGATATGAATGACATTGTTCAGTAATTTTGTAAATATTCTTTAAATGTTGGGCTTAATAGAAAAAAGCTGTATTTCCATATCCACTTCTGGATTTAACCTAGGATAGTATGTTTTGGTTGAAGTAGAATAAAATCTAGTCTCACACAGATTTGGAGTTGGAAAAGGATCAGATATTTTAATAGCCTTTTCAGATTGTTGTGCATATTCTTTGCTAGTACAGCAGTCCTCAACAAGTTTTTTCTTTGTTTTTTTTTTTTAAAGGTTAATTGCAGTACGAAATCTGAAATCATATCAGTACGTTTTTCTTACTCTGGTACATTTAAGTTCATTGGTCTCTCTTGCATTTTGAATAGATCTTTTTTTACTCATGCATAATTTTGTAACATTATGCTTTGGTCATTTGGAAAATACAAC